CGTGGATTATTGGATTGCTATGTTGTTAGTGATTCGATATAGAACGGTCTAGGATGTTGAATGATTGGTTATTGGTTTATGAAGTATTATTTAATGGTTTATTTGCATAATTGATTTCCGCTGAATGTTTGCTGTATTGAGAATTTTAGCATGTTGAAGGTTAGCATTTATGGNGATGCTAATTCGGTGCTAATTTATATATAAAAAAAAAAAAAACGGGTCGGGTTGTTTCAAGGTTCCACACGGTTTGAAAATTGGCCCATGGTATAGTGATTTTGGTCACCGGAAGAGGCTCATGGGTTATCTTTCAAGCCTTGATACTTTTCTCATACCATATTGAAATTTCACCGAGTTATATGGTCTTTTCAAGCTCCTAGTGAAGTTTCAACAATTTTTCTCGTACGGTTTCGCATATGGTCTTTGAATGGGGCGATTTGACTCGTCGAAAGGATATGTATCGAGCCATCTGCAAAACAGTAGAGATTTTTTCGCTCCATATTTAAAACCCATCAGAAAACATGATATTTTAGTTCAGTTGGTGAAGTTCAAGGGCTTTTACTCGAGTGGATTGGTAGATGTACCATAAAAATGCTTCGCGTGGTCCGTTTGTGAGGGAAAATTGAGAAAATCTTCAAATTGGTTCGAGCTATATGAGATCTTCTTCGATGCTTAGCATATTCCATCCCTTATGAATCATTATCATGCTAGGTGTCTCCAATTTCTCCTCTTTTCTCACACATCATCTTGAAAATGGTTTGGATCATGCTTAAGACGATTAGAAGTGTGCGCATCACAACAAAAATTATTGATACAAATCCTGTTAAAGAGCGACATATCTTTGCAAAAACTCGAAATCACTTGAAACTTAAGTCCTCAATACATGTGTATTGAATTCTAATTCCAAGGGTTAGTAAAATAGCACATAAAAAACAAAATAGATCCAATAATGAATTAAAAGTGTTTAAAATTGCTAATCTAAGTGAAACCAATGAGTGTATATGTAAAGATGTGTAAATCATTCAAAAACCAAAGGATGTGTAAATCATTCAAAAACCAAATTAATCTAACCAAAATTTTGAAATTTCTAATGCAAAACTTCATGAATCAAATCATATTCTTAATAATAATTTTAATTAAGCATAGAATTTGAAAAGATGAATTCATGAAAATTCAAAATTAAAAATGAATTTGGTTCCTAAATTTTATGAATTATGTGTTGAAAATGGTTTTATAAATAATTTAGAAGAAAAGATTAAGAAAATTTACCTCGATGACCTCTTGGTTCGATTGTTCAAACCGGATCGTCTGTGGTAAAGTCTGGGCTCCTAGGGTCGGGTGGGAAGGGTCATGCGAAGGACTGAGATGCAGGTCGAGGACAAGGGTCATGGGATGGGGAAAGGTGGTGGTCGACGTGAGAAGGTGTAACACCAGTCGTGACACCGGTTGGCGTACTCGTCTGTTGTTTGGGACCTATAGGACCCGTGGTGGACTGAGCTAGGACGCTATGGGGCGTGGGACGTGAAGGGCTGGGATGCGGGAAGGTGGCATCCAGTTGAGGCAACAATCAAGGCTAACACCGGTCGAAGCACTGGTCATTGTGCGTGACCGATGTTAGGAGGACATGGAGCGCAAGTCGTTGTATCGGTCCATGGTACGAACTGATAAGATGCGGGAAGACGGACACATACATGCATCAGAACGTGGGTTGAGAGGTAACACCGGTCCGCATACGTGACCGATGTTTTGGAGACGCGGGACGTGGATTGATAAACATGGCCCGAGGCACAATCTATCAAACACTGGTTGCGATTCTCAATCGGTGCCGAAACCGGTACTGGAGCTGATCGGGACTTGGGCTAAGGAGCTGATACCGGACAATGATACCGGTCGGGGGGTTGAGCCAGTGCTCAAGTACTTTGCCTCCGACCTCTTTTTTCATCTTTCGTTTTCTCTTTCTATACACCTCGGAACTTAGATCTGAAAAATGTCCTATAATTTTGAGAATGCGATCATTCCAAGAGTATGATGATTATCTCCTGGTTCCTTGTAGTTCGTCTTGAGAAAATTTTTTAAGTTGGCTCCTTACAGCTTCGTACACTTCTTCTCAATGTTGGAAAATTGGTCATAACTTTCAAACCGTAATACCAAATTACGATATTCTTTTTCCTGTAGCTTCGTATGACTGTCTAAAATTTGTCCACCAAATTTCAGATTTTTCTGGATTGATATGGTGTTCCAGTTGTTTCTTTAATCGGAGC